AAGATCACTGAAGCTGAACTTTTTCTTTTGTCTTTTAATGTATTCCTTTCTCACTAAATTACTAATGCATTAGCAAACAAATTTCCGACCAGATGTTTTAAATGGTGTAATTCGAAATGGTACTTTTTGTACACTTAGGCCCGGTTGTACGAAGCCTGGATAGCGCTATCCAACGGACATATCCTTATCTAGTGGATAGATTTATTAGATATAACAGCATCAACTTACCCGCTGGATAGCACTATCTGATGGATAAATCCTTATCCTCCATTCGTTCAACCGGGCCCTGGCTTTCTGCTAACAAAGGATACCTTGATCTTGCCACTATCGATATTTTTACTCCTGGTCTTTTAATCGTATATCACACTGAATTTGCAAGATCCCAGTGGAACTGTCACAGAAGGTTCTGGAAAGTGCGACATTTGACCTCATGAACCGATCCCACTCCCAGTAATCATTTGACTTTTTCAATATTATATTCCTGGTTACGACATGATTTTTGTTTCCTTGTTTGACACTTAAAACTTCCAGTCTATTTATACAAAAAGACAACAAATATAATTAATTGGCTATTATTACTATCCTTGCGGAACATGCTTCGCTAGTGAAGTATTTAGTATGAAAGCCGGTAACCAATCAGAACAAAAGCGTAGCAAGGCAACAAAATGGCGGCTTTTTAGATTTTATACGATAATTTCATTTTTCTAATAACGAAACATAGTACCGTAAAACGTACGAGCAAAGGCCTAACAAGGGGGGCCAAGAGCGCCAGGGGCTTTCTAGGCGATAACCAATCAGAACCAAAGCGTAGCAAGGCAACAAAATGGCGGCTTTTTAGATTTTATACGGTATTAGAGTAAAACGAAAAAAAACAAGAAAAAAGAACAAACAAAAAAACAAACAAACAAAAGTATACTTTTAAGGAGGGCGATTTTCAGCCAAGATTTGTCAGTTTCAGGGTTTAACCTGTTAGCTAGCCGTGCCCTGACTTCGATCAGCGGCCAGAGGTTTAGTTCGGGGTTTAACCTTTGAGTTACGAGTGTCCTGATTCAGATCAGCCTACGGAGATTGTTTCAGGGTTCCATCTGTCGGTTTGCGCCTGACTTAGATCTTTACACGACTCGTTTCATCGTTTCATGCATGAAGGGTTCAAGGAAAAAACTTGATGTCAATTGATAATTTTCTTCTGAGGTAAAAATCATGTAATTACCTTACAACAGCAGATATTTTATGATCTTCATATTGTTTCCTCTCTTCGTCTCCAATCCAAAACAAACGCAAATTCATCATTCCAAAACCTGAAGTACTTGAACCATTTGGAAAAACTTCCATCATCCATAGGTGACCACATTGTATGAACATCGGACTTGTAAATGACGTGCCTTTTTCTTTTGTTTTGGCAAGGGATTGGTAATCATATATCTTCCACAAGTAACTCCCAAAGGAATCATAGCGACTTTTCTGGATTGAAATGTAAAAACGTTATTCAAAAAGAGATTTCATAACACTACTAATTACTATTGAATGCTATGATTAAATTGCAAAGAAAGAAAGAAAGAAAGAGAGAGAGAAAAAAAGAAAGAAAAATCGTATTTTTCATGTCATTTTTTTTCCTCGCTCGTTTGCAAGAGCATGAGAGCGCGCACAAAAAGAATGCACGGAACCAATGACCAACAACGTCCTTAAGGACAATTATGAATGCGTAAAAAGTTATATAAATAACTGTTATGAATGTCGCGTTCTGATTGGTTTGGAGCGCGTACTTTATGAGAGCACATCGCACGCGCGCGCACTTTCCGTTGCGTCATTTCTATCTACTATTGTAATTTGTATTTTATAAAAGAAATAAAAAACTTGCTTGCAGTGCTGAGTGATGTCATAAAGCACTTGGGGATTGGCAGAACACTCGAGAGGTGTCCAGAACACTTCTCTCGTATTCTGCCAACTCCCCCGTGCTTTATGACAGCACACAGCACGCGCGCGCGTTTTCTATTTCTTCAATAAAATTTCTTGAAACTGATTTCCATAGCAACTCATTTTAGATACTCCTCTCGACCAATTAGAATCAAGCAATTTTATTACATTTACCAAATAATTGTGGTGCACTATAATTGGCATGAATAATATATCTGAAAAATTTTGCTTGATTCGGATTAGATATTAATCAAAAATAGTAATTAGCACATGCAATGCAAATTAAAATGGTATTACTGAATGAGTAATAAYATATTTTATTGGCTTCCCCCTTGTTTTGAGGGTACTTCTAAGGGTTCTTCAGTTTTTCTCTCTTTACAAAACCTAACAACTGAAGCTACATTCATTATTCCAACCACAGGCAAGTCGTGCCAAGCCATAGGTTGTTTCAGGGTTCCATCTGTGACGATTAGCCTTGTCCTGACTTAGATCACCTCATATGTCACCTCGTCGTTTCAGGGTTCCAAGGGTAGCCGAGCTCTGACGTAGATGTTTCAGGGTTTGATCTTTGAATTAGTTTTGCTTGGTCCTACATCAGCCCCGCAGAGGTTGTTTCAGGGTATCGATAAAATGTGCATTAGAATATGGTGTTTCGAGTGCAATTGGGAATTGAAGTGTACAAGTGGGTTTTTCAAAGAGCTTCGAAAGAGAACGAGCCCGAGCTCTTTGAAAAAGGCACATGAGAAAAAATAAATTCCAAATTGAACGAGTAATCATATTATTGCTGGTTTGCACTTATTCCCAAGAGAATGAAATGACGAAAGACACGGCGGCCATGTTGGATGATATATGATAAATGACGAAATGTTTGTTAAATTCATTCAACATGGCAGCTGTGAAAACAATCAATACTAACCCTCTTAACTTCACTTAATTCATTCTTCAACTGTGTATTTTGATTTTCAACCAATTTCAAGTGTTCAGTCTTGTTGTCTTGTTCGTGTTTATCGACATGTTGTCGTTCAACTTGGACTGAACATCCCTGATCCTTGAATGGACAATCTACCAATGCTCTATCACAAGAAGTAGCCAAATGGTCATCTAAGTTCATCCTTAGGAGAAAGTGCAGATCTCTTTTTATTTAACAAATTACATAAAGATTAGGATTTTCACGTAGAAAACGGACTCATGCATTCAGCTTGCGTATCGCGGTAATGTTTACAGCCGTGCGACTACTTTAACTTCAAGGCCACTCAAACAAGCTGTAAATCAAAGTCATAAAAGCCAGTTTTTGATGATGAATAATAGTATGGTTATGAGTTCTCGAGTTTTTTGTTCGATCCTGTTCATACAAACACATATYAATTAAAATATGTGATTATAAAGGGGRRAAAAAACTGATGGGAAATGTGTGCAGATTCTATAGCTAATTGTCTAAAAACTCATACGTGATTGCCCACTTTTGCAGTATGAAAATTTGACTGGSTGAGCTTGGTTGGTATAGTCTCACTGTATTGATTTCCCATTTCAGACGACAGCATATCATTTCTTTACATATCAAGAGAAGATATGTGGTCTGAATTGAGATTTTGGATGTTTTTGTAACCAGCACTTTGTACTGACGACTTGCCTTTTTATATTTTGTATCAATCCATCTACACTTGTACATTGGTATGGACATRGAATCAGTGTTTCAGGACAGTCACGCGCTTTGTGGTTCTCAAGTTCATGTTGGACTAACTCAAGTCCGCATTTGCCGTCACATGCCACTCTTTTGTACTTGCATGTGTTCTCGTGCTCTTTTATTCGCATTCTCTGCATTTTTGTGATGCAGTTTTCATGTGGACAGGGCACGAGCTGAAAAGGACATGTCTKTTGGTGTTTTGGAAGAGTTCCCAGTTTGCCGATSCAGGTACACTTCTGCGCAGCATCTATTGACCCTTAAGAATTCCAAGTTCAATAAATCATACTTTAATTGACATAAACTGGAAGCACGTGTTTCTCTTCATGAGAACCCCAGACTAAAATTATGAGGCAAATTTGCGAACAAAGTCATTGTTCAGGGCTTTTAAATGAGCATTATCCGGCCCTAGGAAACTTTGAAGGACTTGTCCATCCCCAGAAGCCATTGTATATATGTTCTCTCGTTTTCGTTATACCAAACATGGTCAACGATTGGGATCAGAAACCATGCGTRGCTTACCACAGRCGATCCAGGGTCTGTAAGGGTATTCGCGGGAACCRGGAAACGAATGAAATATAGCGCGGGATCCAAGAAAATATACGCATGATTGGGAGTATTGGCATCGGCCGTTGCACGGGAATTGCCTAATTCAATATCCTGGCTTTCTTATTTTCGGGTAAAACGTGATGGCAAATTGTCGCGTGACGCGGGATTTGGGGACAAATAGAGCGTGAATCGGGATC